TCCAAAGTACACTTTAATATTTCTGGCGCGGCCGGGCAGCCTATTGGTTAAAGCGTTCGCTCGTCATGCCGAAGACCCGGGTTCGCTTCCCAACATGGGTAGAATGTGTGAAGCCCATTTGTTGTGTCCCGCGCCTTGGTATTGCTGGAATAGTGATAAAAAGGGGAGTAAAAACTCCCTTACTCACTCACTCACTTAGTTTCTCCGTCCTAATCTAACGTTATAACATTTCAGATCATTACCATCATCTAATATTCAAGAGATGATCATATGAGACATATTTTATTCAGTTTTATTGTCTATGCGGTCTTAAAATTTTATAAGTCTTTAAATCTTATGTCTAGTGCATATTTTCACAAACAGGGCCGTTACTTGATATCAGGAATGTAACATTCAGTTGATTTTGCAGTTAACTTACTGTTTTTTTTCAAATAAGAAGACTGTATACGAAATACGACAGTTCGTTAAAGAAGTTTTTACAATTGATATTTTGAAACAGCCAGTTAAACGCCAGTTGTGACAGGGATTATGGCTAGGTAGATGTAGCAGACAGATTGACAGCCGTTGTGACGTACGTCACTAGGTTATTTGAACGGCATTTGCCTCGTTGATTTTTACTGTACTTTGAGGAATTCTGTGGCAAGCGAAGGACGTAATTCAGACGCCTTTTCTTACTTACTTAAATTGGGAATTTAACGTGCGCTTTCCGACTAATGCGTATTTCGCGCACGGGCCCGCCAGGCCATTTAGTGTTTGATCGAAAAGGGTATGTCCGGAAAGGTGAGGCAACCTAGGTGAGGGTTGCCTACTTAATTTGGACAACAAGATTCGTTTTTGGTCAATATATCAAGGCACCAATTCATCTTTCATAAACCTTTTGTGTCTTTGTGCTTAATATATCCACAATTAACGGACATATGTAAATATACATGCATCTACAAAATATTTATACAGGCTAGGTATTTACCCACAACCACACCTGCATAACTGTTTATTCACGTTGTATTTCGTGATTTTATTTGTTAGAATGAAAGATTTTCAGCCAGACGTTATGCAATTAAAGACGAATAAGCCTTTTTCATCAAAATACGCGCACGTGTACCTGTATATCGCACACCTAGTGTCACTTAATTGCCCAGTGTGATCGATGGAACGTATATGGAACGCAAAATCCACTAAAAGCGTAGGCCTTTTACATTTTACAACAATACACCAGACCAAAGATGCGACAGGCCGGGTTCTTCCGCTCTGTGGCCTCGTCTTTGTAAGTCATCATAATCAATGTAACGAATAGAAATGTAAGAACGAGATATAAAATGGGAAATGAAAAGAAACCAACTCAACTTTAATGCTGTGGATCATAAGAATTGGTGTACACACGCGTGAATTTATATGATAAGCTATAAATATTTGTTGAGAGGTGAGGCCGGGTTCATTAAAGATCGTTTCAATATGTACAAAAGGTAAAACTTGTAAAACCTCTGTAAAGGTAACATCCAACCAAAGGCCCTTTTTAAATGGTAACGTAGTGATATAATAATTGTAAAGTATATTTCACATGATACAATATACTTTGCACACAATTAGTAGTTGCTTAAAGAGACTGACCAAAACATGGGCGAAATATTTTAATAACGCCCCAAATTAGTTGACTTAAGTTAAAATGCGTTGAATTATATGTCATGATGCTTGTACACACACCTTTATGTATTTACAAATGAAAAACATTAGTTTTGAGCAAAGGAAAATATTATCGCCCATGGGCAGGCCAATGGGCGACATAGTTTAAATTTTGAGTTTTCAAAAGATTTCTTTTTCATTTTTTCTTCCATTTTATGTATCCATGATAACAGCATGTTCATATTTGTAACTACTTTTGACAGAGACTGGTCATACCATGGAGAGTTTTTGGACAAATGGGTATCCATAATTAAAAAGGAACGTGTTTTACCCATTCACTGATCCTCTAATTTAACTTTATTTCATTCCCTAAGCTATTTCATTCATTCATTCCTCCAGGCGGCGCGATTCGCTGTGCAGAGTTGCGTCCCTTGGGCACGCCAGAAACCTATGATTGTGGGTTTGAATCCCGGTTCGCCCCGATTATGTTTCTAGGTTTGTCAGCACCATACCCGTGCTCGTGGGTTTCACCGAAGTGGTAAACGTCTGAGACTTGCATCACTTCAGGCTTTCCCCCCACATTAAGCTGACACGCTGTGATATAACTGGAATACTGTTAGGAGCGGCGTTAAACCTAACTCACTCACTCACACTCCTCCAGAATTTAAATGGTACGTGTTGTAAACAAGCGTTGAATTAACGAATGACGCATCAATTTTGACAATTACGACACTTGAGAGACTGGTGTAAATCGCAAGTCCTGTTTCCCCCCTGCTTTAATTTTCTCTGAGAATTATCAAGTGGTATTTGTAGTGGTAGTGGTTTCTGAAAATTATCAATAAAAAAAATAATATTACTCATGACACGGATGTCATTTGCATGTCAACAGGAGGTCGCATTTGACGTATTGTGACGTGGGCGGAAAAACACACTAAGGTTGGGAACATTAACAATCTGAAGTCCAGTTTCTCCCCTGCTTTAATTTCTCGAGAAATTATCAAATTCCTAATGATCAGAGTAACCAGTACTACAACTGGCACATATGTTCATCCTCGCCATGGCAACAGCTAATTTCCCGATCTCTGCAATGTCTGTAGTCCTTACAGCGTCTATTCACAATCATTGACTTCACATGTTCGTCACGCAAAGTGCATAAACATAAACAACTACCTGGAGCTCACCTTGCAATATGTTTTACGGTGGAATGGGTAATACGGTGTAATGAGAATTGGCAATCGAACAAAAATATGAATTATTTTTTAAAATTCGGTATATCCGCTGGTTGAGTGGTGTTTTACGTCGCGCGCAAGATTTTGTCACCTCTGTAGCGTGCGTGCGTGCGTGTGTGTATGTGTATGTGAGTGTTCATGTGTGTGTGTGTGTGTGTGTGTGTGTGTGTGTGTGTGTGTGTCTCTCTCTCTGTGTGTGTGTGTGTGTGTGTCTCTCTCTCTCTCTCTCTGTGTGTGTATGTGTGTGTGTGTGTGTGTGTGTGTGGCTGCCTGTACGAGTCCGGACTAATACCTGTTTTTAGTGCTAGCCCACAGACACACACGCACAAGCCGCAGTTCAACATGGATACGCCACTCACACACAGCCGACCAGACCTTGTAACATCAAGTATAATATACAGTAAACTACGGTTATAACGAACTGAAAGGGACTACTAATTTTAGTTCGTTATAACCGTAGTTCGTTCGAATATGGGATTCGAAGGATGATCAGCAATTCGTGGCACCGATTGTACGATGGCTTGACATGTATTGGAAAACAGTAACATCGAGTGCAATTAAAGCTCAAGGTGAAACGATTTATCAACCAACTTGAAAAGTACGAAAGGGTACTACAATGTCGCCATGAAAACATTTCCTGCTTCACAAAGGCGAGGATTTCGGGAGGATTTATGTCGACCACTTGATTAACAAGTGGGGCCAGGGAGGTTCGCTGTTCGTCACTGCTTGAATGTTTTCTTTGAGGCTTTCACCGTTTGGTGGTAGTAGATTTTCCTTTAAAATACAGCCTCACATGGTAGTTCATGCATGACGTTCACAAACACCTCGACCTACTTGCGCGGAGGACCTTGACCACTTCATGGACTGCTTTGTTGAATACGTACATACAGTTTAGAGTGTTGGCGACAGCAACGATAAATGGGGTAGAGTTTCCAGTTTTTAAACAGGTCCTAGTCAAACAGTTGATAATGTACGTTCTGACATTTCTTGAACGCCAGCGCTCTTTCGCTGTTCTTGTACTCGCCTACGTGATCATCTTGATTGGTTGGTTCATCAACGAAGAAAATGTTTTCAGTGTTATATTTAATAAACAGAGGTGAATACAAACACCCACGGGGCTTTCAGAACCCATGTGTTGACAACCGTAATGTTGCTTGAACATTTGGGCCGCCTCCGTGGTCTTGTGGTAGAGCGTCCGCCCGCAGAGCGGAAGGTCCGGGGTTCGATCCACGGCCGCGTCATACCAAAAGACGTTTAAAGATGGTACTTGTTGTTACCCTGTCTGGCGCTCGGCATTAAGGGGCTAAACCAAGGACTAGTCGGCTCGGAGTCAGTATACTGTGTCTGAGTGGGGTATTCATGTTAAACTGCGGCATGGTATCTCAGTGAGCTAGCACTATAAATCGGCATCAGTCCGGACTAGTACAAGCAGCCACACACACACACACACACACACACGTGCATGCACGTCGCTATATAAGTGCAATAATCTTGGACGCGACGTTAAACCCATTTTCACCTCACCTTGAACATTTGGTCAACAATAGGGTGTTGCATGGTTGTGTACACCAATCGCGCTCTTGTAACTTTGTAGTGAGTGAGTGAGTGAGTTGGGTTTAACGCCGCTTTTAACAGTATTCCAGTTATATCACGGCGTGTCAGCTTAACGTGGGAGGAAAGCCCGAAGTGATGCGTTTTGCCACCTCGGTGAAACCCACAAGCACGGGTATGGTGCTGACAAACCTAGAAACATACTCGGGGCGAACCGGGATTCGAACCCACAACCATAGGTTTCTGGCATGCCCAATGGACGCAACTCTGCACAGCGAATCGCAGCGCCTTAGACGACTGGGCCACCCGTGCCCGCTGTAACTTTGTAAACATGAACACAATCAGATATGTTGCTGTTGTTTGGGTACACGAAGTGTAGACGTATACAACACAATACCTCTTTTCCTTATGTATTCATTTAATGGAGCACGTTTACTAAACGCACTCGTGTGTGAACTGGTAATCAAATCCACCACCCCCCCCCCCCCCCCCCCGCCCCCCCTTGACACACACACACGCACACCCCCCGAACCTCACCACTCCCGACGATTTATTATCCGCCAAGGATATAACCATGGTAAGCACGTTTACTAAAGCAATAACGTAATATAGCCGAGTACTGTGAAAGAAACGTGATTTAAACTTTCATAATGTCTTAACTACCTCAACACCATGAGACGTCACACATCGCTCCCGTTCACTTCATGCATAGGTGCGCTGGGTCACATAGACTGTGTGGGATTACTCATTTCCGACCGAGGCGCGTCGCGAGACATTCATACAAACAATCCAAGATCGAATCGGACGTACAATTCTGGATACATGTGCACGATATTACAGAAAATACAGACGCAGGTAGGTGAAATAATGTTACTAATAAGGATATCACGTCACTTTGACCTGGCCTGCTAAGATGACAAAATACTACGATGGCTGCGTTCGTTTATTATACCTGGAGTCGGGAGGTTGATTGGAGGTCTCAGCGAGCTCATACAACAGGTTTTGAGGCATTCAGCGCTCAGAGGCTACACCAATTTCCACTTTGCTGTGTTTGTTTTTATTTTTTGTTGTTTTTAAATAACACGACTTGCTTGAGTTCATAGCTGAGAATGCACAAAGGTGTGACAGGTCGTCATCTAAATATGGAAGTAAAATGATGAACCTATTGCACTTCTGTGTTGTTGTTTAATAGTTAGCTGACTGTTTACAAGAAACACAGTGTGACTAACCGAACGTAAGAAAGAAAGGTACAATGTTACTGTTAAGAACGGGCGAGGAATGTCATCAGCGGCTGAATAAGGAAAGATATTGCGACCCCCAAAGAACGTCAGCGTTCTCTTAAATTACATTTCTCTTGGGGTCGAGTCATGTCGGGAGATCTCGTTTAGGTGTTTTTGAGTAGGTCAGATGTTTTAACTGAGGGTAGGCATATGCATGACTGTACGTGATTGGTGGTGTCCTGGCTTTGAGATTTAGGGTAGTTGTAAGTGTCGAATTAGGTTTGATCCAAAAAGGATACAAAACACTGTAATGGGTGGGCCCATGTAGGACTGGAGAGTGTCGATTGTGCTTCTACATTTCGTCACGGCTTTCAGTCCATGCTTTTATGCATGATAGTCTTTCGACGCCCTGGCGAACACTATGCGAGTTTATTCACGACATATTTTTTATCGAAGCATGTCAATAGCATGCTTATCATGACGGGAACAGGTTTTCAGCAAGCTCTGCTTGGACGTCTCCTGGACAACCCACCTCTCGTTGCTTATGTCATCTTGTACCGATTACTGTGTGATTAGTATTTTAGTATTTCTGACTAATTATTTTTTAACTTCTTAACGTTCTTATGTCCGTTTAAGTTGTCCTATGTTCAACTAATTAATTAAAGACGCATTATACGTTATGGCTATGTATTTGGCTATTTTCATTTGGGCCCAACACGACTCTTTTCCTGATGTGTGATCTTGAATATGTTCATGTTCATTACAAGAAACTATGCATGATACATAATCCCTGACACATTTATGTCAGAGACTAAGCGTTAATCTAGATTCATAAAATTCATAAATTATTCATTAAATAATGTGTTTGTTTCTGTGGAGTCTTGTCGGCTGCAGCCGCAAGCGTTATGTAACAAACCTCAAAGGTGGTGTTCAGGTATGTTGTTGAATTTTGTTCACACAACACGGCGTCACTGATCTTTTGTCATAATGTCGAACATCATTACCAGACACACATTGTATTTGTCACGGTTAGAGGTCGTCACGTATGGCATAGATCGGTACCTACCCTTTATATACCGTTAAATAGTTACGATACAATGAAGAGGTAAGAAGTGAAATTATTCATGAGAGACTCCGTTGGCCAACAAGCTTCAGGGGGAGTGTATGTGTGTGTTGGGAGGGGAGGGGGGTGACCTTGCCCTCTCTCAGCCATGTGAGCTGTAGGTTCAGTGTTAAGTGGGCCAGGCAAACATTGCCTGTAGCTTGTCACTTTGAGGGGGTTATGAATTTGCTTGGTCCTTATATTTGAGGAACACGTACAATGTAGAAATACCTTAAGGATGCCAAAGGGGTAACCAGAAAATACATATATTTGCAGATATGACTGGGAAACCGACGTATCAGATAGATCGCACTCGGGACAGATGACGTTTGATTTCCTCCTAGCCCATCTATAGTTCTCTAAATATGTACGCGCAAGATTCAGGGAACAAACTGGCGTACATCGTTGCTCATGGTATCAACTACTGGTTGCTTGAATTATTAATTAAAGCCCCACGTGAAAAGAACTATTCCTAAAATTAAATTCCACTCACTGTAAACATATGCGATTGCTTGTGTGTCATGGTATTCATTTCATGTTTGGGGCAAATTAGTATTTCTGACTAACGACTTTTTACATACTTTAAGTTCTTTGCATCCACGTTTAGGTTTTAATATTCAACTAATTATTGTTGTTAAAGACCCGTTATACGCTATGGCTATGATTTATGAACGCTCAGTATATTTCCCTAGCTTAAATAATAGTTTTCAATTATTTTAACTAGTATACTAATGTCAGAAGACCAAAACGTGGATGAGTGAACAAAGTCATCCTTTAAATATGTCTGTTAATTTTTATGAAGTTGAATATGTTCATGAACATTAAAAAAAACTGTGCATGGCACATTATCTGTAACGCATTTTGTGAGGCTACTTCGGTTCTCGATGTGTGTCATATGATATCCACGAAGAATTGAATATTTACTCCTTGTAATAAAACACTTCAGACACGACAGTATGACTATCACGATTTACTGCGACACTTTGAACAAGTATATGAATCGAATTTGAGACATTACTGCTGCTTCACTGTCGAAGCAAATGTTTAGGTTTGATATTCCGTGTGGGCCCAACACGACGCTTCTCTTTCCCCTTCCTTTGGACAACCATACAGTTGTGTACACTGAGATGAGTAAAGTTAAATTTGTTCACCAACATAAAAAAATGTGCGTGACACATTATCTGAAGGGGCGGTCGGATAGCCTTGTGGTTAAAGCGTTCTCTCGTCACGTCGAAAACCCGGGTTCGATTCCCGACAAGGGTACAATGTGTGAAGCCCATTTCTGGTGTCCCCCGCCGTGATATTGCTGGAATATTGCTAAAAGCGGCGTAGAACCATACTCACTCACTCACATTATCTGAAACACATGTTGTAGGCCAACTCGGTTCTCGATGTGTGTCATATGATATCCAAGAAGAATTGATATTTACTCCTTATAATAAAAAACTTCAGACACGACAGCATGACTATCACGATTTACTGCGACACTTTGAACAAGTATATGAATTATATTTCGGACACAACTTCTCCTTCACTGTCGAAACGCATTAGCAATAACATTGTCTCTTTATTTTAAAATACACAATATACACTTCTACCGAGTATGTATTATTAAGGCGTCCTCCCCAAATATTTGTCCACGACGTCCACGACGTCGCGCGTACCCTAGAACAAATTTATAAATAATAAATTATTATGATTCACATTTAGCTTTAAATCCGACCCTCGGGTATGTCCCATCATATCATAATCTCCCCTATTTGGGCTCCTGTTCATACACATATTTGTACTCAACCATCTATTTGATAAATGACCTGCTGTCGACTCGACAATGCTGGTTTTAGAAAACATCTATATCAAAGTCCCTGAACCATATCATTTTCCTTTCCGCCCAGGCCTTACTGTAATGCTATAGCCCTTAATAAAGCATGCCTATGGTTACATTCTGCACAGGTTCAGAATCTCCCTTCCCGCTCGGACTCCATTTCAAGTGGCTCCATTTAAATTGAAATGGAGTTGTTTATTTGAATCCAAAACATTTGTTTCCGAGACTAAGCGTTAATCTGGTTTTATAATAATGTGCTTGGTTTCTGTGAAGTCTTGTGGCCGCAGCCGCAAGGGTAATGTAACAAACCGCAAGGACTACCAAGGTGGTGTTCGGGTATGTTGTTGTATTATGTTCACACAACATGGCGTCACTGATCTTTTGTCATAATGTCGAACATCTTTACCAGGCACACATTGTGCTTGTCACGGTTAGAGGTCGTCACGCATGGCATAGATCGGACAATCCCCATGATGTACGACAAAGCGGTGACGTTAAATTAAAGAGGGCATTTCAGAAGTTACATTATTCATGAGAGAACCCGTTGACGAACAAGCCTCAACTGGTGGAGGAGGGTGTTGTCCTTGTCGTTTGTAGGTTCTCCTGATGACATGTACATGATATTTGGTCAATTAGCATGAAGTTATTGTGAGTGAATGAGTTGTGTTTAACGCCGCATTGGACAGTATTCCAGTAATAGCGTTGCGTGTCATCTTGATGCGGAAGGCCCGACGTGATGCAGGCCTTTGAGGTTTACCACTTTGGTGAAACCCACGAGCACGGTAACAACCTTGAAACATAACCGGGGTGAATCGGAATTCGAACCTACAATAATATGTTTCTGGCGTGCCTAATGAACGTAGCGAGTTATGGTAATGTTATAGTGCAAACCATTTCAATACTTTTACTTAAATAGTGCAAACCATTTCAACACCTTTATTTTACATTTCATTTATCTAAATACCTAACTGGTTCAATATATTTCCAAGTGCACCGAAATTCTATGCCCTTTGTCTGTTTAATATATTCAGCAAACATTCGGCGTATCCCCTCTTATCATAAGCCCCTCCGGGCAGGACCCTTAATCTCCAGCGCTATCTATAAATTTTAATTAACACCTCCTAACGTCGCCGGATCTTACGGCACATACATACATATATACATACACGTAGGACAATGACCTTGCCACACGTTACGTAATAGCTCGCTCTACAAAACCCGACTGACATGGTCAGTCAGGGAGACAGCCTGGAGACAGACAGAAGATCGACTCGTGTAAGTGACAGAACGGTTCTCCCACCCGGGAAGATTGGCCACTCGGTCCCGGTGTGCGTTCTGTCACGTTATTATCAACATGTACCTTTTCGACTTATTCCAAACCGTCAACAATAAACATGGCTGCTGTCGTCTAAACTTCACCCTGAGTTTTGTCTTCCGTCATCACACTGAGCCACCATCCGAGGGTTGAAACCAACGCCCTTGGACAGTAATTAAAGGTGTGAAACAGTGATGGCGTTATGGTGGAGTTACTGCTTTGGCTTATTTTTAAATAGAATGCATCAAGCCATACCCCGTTCTCATGCACATGTATACATATGTGTGCAAATTTGCATACGAGTGTAAATATACACACGTGAGTATTCTTGTATGTCATGTGTACGCGTTGGACTCATTTGCGTATATTTACAACATAAGTAAATCAATAAGT